ATGTGCTGCTAGCATATACTTATGGTGATATCCAAGTTTGTCCTCATGTGACCCTTTTTTTTTCTTTGAAACGGTAGCTGAAGATAGTGTGGTGGCTAATGAGGACAATGAGAATCCTACTGCTGTTGTCAATTCTGTTAAGGATGATGCAGGTAGGTGGTATAACATATGATTCATTTAATAGATTATTGGTTGGAGATGTTTTTAAAGTAACGTTTTGATTTTCCTGTTCCTGAAAATATTCTATGTTAAAAATTGAGAATTCTAGTTTGTTTCAAACTCGAACCAAAGACTAGCAGGATCCTGGTTAACCAGGCACGTCCTCAAGATCCCGTAATAAAAGGAACATAGGAATTTGTCACTAGGCATTTGACCAAATAGGGTTATCCAGTGCCTACAGAACCTATCACTAAAGTTCCCCTAGAGAGGGATAAGGCTAAGCTGAGCGGAAAGGGTTTTTCATGAGATGGAAAATTCAAATTATTAGTCCCACACGAAGTTTGTGATTAAGTGATTGTCTGATAGCAAGGAATACCCGTCTTTGTGCTAAACAGGATGTATTGAACTCATAATTCATTAGAAACTTGTTCTGAATGTCAACTAAGTATTGTAAGAAAATTTCTCCTGGTTTTTCAATCATTTGATAACCAGAGTCTTTTTTGATAAATGATCACTATAAATCAGACTCAATAGAATTTGATCAATCCTTTTTTTTCATTGTTTAGGTGGAGAACTGAACAAAATTTTTCGTAGATGGTTTCAAATTTATGGGTGACAAAATGTATTTGAACTCCATTCATTTCGTATTTTATTGTTTCGGTGTTTCCTGGTATGTGATATGAGATTGCTGGCATTTCGAATCAATTATAAGTTTCAAGATGTTCTCTATATTGTTGTATAACCAATAGTAATGCATATTTAGTATTCAACTTGTATGGTAGAATATTTGCTAGATGTAAGATGCTATTCATATCTTTTCTGTAGTTGATATATTCATAAAGGTGTATGTGTTTATGATTAAATAAATAAGGGACACATATTTATTAGCATATTGTATGAACTCATCAATGCAAAATTGCCCTCGAAATTTGCTCACTTTGATGATGGCCTTAGGTTTAATGGATGCATCAGCAGCTGACTCAAAAGCACTGCAAGTTGAATCAGAAGATGCCATAGTAGGTAGGCTTTCTGCAAGTAGAGTATGATTAGTAATACAAAGTCGAGTCCAATATACTTTGTACGTTTATATTCCTTCACAGTATGGAGCTAGCAGATATTAATAACTTTAACTGGTTTCAATAATATTCTTCTGTGTTCTTGTACTTTGTTGTTAGGTTCATTTTTTATTTCTCTTCTTTTATGCAGAGGGATTATAATTGGGTTACTATTTATTAATAAATTTACTAATTTTAACTCTGATAAGCTACATGCAATGTTATCGTGCCTTTCTTATCTTAGAACCAAGTTCTTATGGGTTTATGTTTTTGTTTGGTTATCCAGTAAAAGATAAGGAAAGCTGTCCTCCAGATGATCAGGAAGATGAAGTGGAGGATCAAAAAAAGCGACACTTGAATGTTGTATTTATTGGTCATGTTGGTATGAGCTTCCTTAATTCCTCAAGCCTTATGCTCTGCTCACTAATGACCTAAGTGCTGCTCACTAATGCATTTTGCTGAATTCCAATGGAGGTTCCTGAAAATGTTTTCGTTAATATTAATCAGTAATTTGTAAAACTTGGGATGATATATGAAAGTCAAGTTTTTCTTTAGGAAATGAGGTAACTATGGTCCTTCCAAAGCGATCTCATCGACAGTTGTTAGATTGGGTCTTCATTTGCACTATGTAGTTTATTGCATGGTTATAGTCACTGCTTGGTGGGCATTAGCCGACTTTAATAGGCGTTAGCTTTACTTTAGATTCATCTTTTTCCTAATAATGGTATGCTTCTTATTTTTTTTATTTATAATTTGAATGTTATGATCATGTTTTTGTTTACTTAAATAGTATCAGAGAAACAAGATAATTACATAAATATAGTTTTATTGGATGCTGTATATATGAGTATCATTTTAAATATGTCATGCAGATGCTGGGAAGTCCACTATTGGAGGACAAATCTTATTCCTCAGTGGTCAGGTTGATGACCGGACTATCCAAAAATATGAAAAAGAAGCTAAAGAAAAAAGTAGGGAGAGTTGGTGAGTGCTTCTTTACTGAGTATTTAATCCAGCTGTGATGCATTATTGGAGATTAATCTTTATTTGTCAGTTTATTAGTATTTATTTACTGATTAAAACAATTAAGTTGCGAGTTCCTTTTATTGGCATTTATATTTATGCACTTTTAGTGTGTATTTGTACAATATGTATTTTTTTGGGTCCAACATACCTTCCACCATAGGCTTAGACATGTTTCCGGTTACAAGTCGGTTCTTTTTTAACCAATGGTTATGGTTTGCCAAAATTCAAAACCGTAAAAAAACTACTGGTTAAACCTCCGTTTTCCTTCCCAAAACATTCAAAGAGTTTGATTTTTTTTTTTTTTTAATACTAAGGCTGAAACAAGTGGTTAACCACTGGTGAAGGTTCCGGCATAGTACAAACCGCTAAAACCATGGTTCACGGATACAGTTTTAACCGGAACCGTGGTCAACTGTTTAACTGAACCGTTGACTGATGGTTCGATTGCCGGTTTGGCGGTTTTGTTACAAACCTTTAACATGTCTGCATAGGCTCCAATATCATCCGTCTTGTTCAAGTTTTGTTGTCCACCATGGGCAGTCAGTGGCCTTTGTTAGCGCTGGTTATCAGGTATTGGGGAAGTTTAGAACCTTTACATTCAAACATGTCTCTCTCATTTGCATTCAGTTACTGTATCCCTTGCTTTGTTGTCTTTTAATGTGCAACTTACATGCACATTAACCTAATGCAGCTTCCATCTAGAGTACATGCAAATGTTATCCACTTTCTTTAAAATAGATCTTTTTCCTTATTTCAGTCCATTGTCAATTGTACTTAAAGTAATTGCCCCTGAAAAATTGCCTGACGCAACTTTAAGAATGCTGGCACCCTGTTTATGTTGTTGATCTTTTGTTTTAAAAATAGGTACATGGCTTATATCATGGATACAAATGAAGAAGAGAGGGCTAAGGTATTCATCTGCTGTTGGTTGATGTTACTTGTTACACAACTGGTCTTATGCTCTTAAATTATTTTGTCTGCACATCTTATTGAAAGTTTTGAACATTGCAGGGGAAAACAGTCGAAGTTGGAAGAGCTCACTTTGAAACAGAAACCACGAGATTCACTATATTGGATGCTCCGGTAACCAGAATTTTATTTATTTATTTATTTATCGTTTTGTTTTTTGGGGAGCGGGGTAAGTTGCTCGTAGAATTTCTAACTATTTATTTTGTTAGGTCTAAAGCATACCTATCAGTTACCTCGCCTTGTTTCCATACAAATTATGTATTTACCTAAATGAATAAAATGGATCTCTCTTGAAGAGTAATTTCACAATACTAAATTCGAACTATATAGTTCAGTCAATATTATCTATTTGCCAACTCGCTTTGTGGAATCATACATGATACGTTCACTGAACGAGATGGTCAGTTAGTTTAATGAATCAGTTTCTTCTTAATTTCGAACTTATTAGTTATTGGAATTGGGGCTTTTCAGGGTCACAAAAGTTATGTACCTAACATGATCAGTGGCGCATCACAAGCAGATATTGGTGTGTTAGTAAGTATCATTTCAACGTCTTAGTTAAAGTGAATTATCTGATCATCCATTGCCACTCATATCACATATTCATTCCCTAATATTGTTCACAGGTTATTTCTGCTCGGAAGGGAGAATTTGAAACTGGGTACGAGAGAGGTGGACAGACACGCGAACATGTGCAGCTGGCAAAGACTTTGGGAGTCTCTAAGCTGCTAGTTGTTGTGAACAAGATGGATGAGCCTACTGTTAAATGGTCAAAAGAAAGGTGTCTTACGAGTTACGATGTGATGATATGTTTACATTCTAGATCTGGATTTCCATGTACTCATTATTATAGTATACCATGCAGATATGATGATATTGAGTCCAAAATGTCTCAGTTTCTGAAGTTATCGAGCTATAATGTGAAAAAAGGTAATTTATCTTTTAACATCTTTTATGCAGTTTTAACTTGCATCTCTCATCTAGAATTCTTTCTTTTTTCTTTTTTTGTGATTTACTTGACTTGTATAATTCCTTGAAGGTTCCATATGATTATTTTATTATTATGATTTGAAATTTCAAGATCTTTACTTATTTTTTTGCTTATACACATCCCTACGATGTCATGGCTGTTGATGTTAATTTATACAGATCCTAAACAAGCAGTATGGCAACCTTAAACGTTATTTTATTTTTTATTTTTTTGTATTATTTTTTCGATCTTCTCTGGCGAGCGACCAAGAGGTTATCATTATCCTTCCGTTTGGGAGCTTTATGTGGCCGACTTCTGTGAATTTGTGAAATTAGATTTGCTTAATCCTGGTTTACAACACATGTTGTCATTTGAATACTTGGTAATTCTGCTTATTTATTGATCCTCGTGTGTAATATTTTGATCAATCCTCTTTGATTATGGTTGAATTGGAAGAACTGTTCTCAATCTTCCTGTTTTATGAACATTCAACCTGTTGAATTATTGTCTAATGTGATCCTTAGTGATGCAATTTCTGTGCATCTTAAAAAGAGTAAAGAATTTATCGTGGACGTTGCTGCAGTTTTTTTCATTGGATTTGGTAATAGAGAGGTCAACTCTGATAGTTTTATTTTTATTTTTATTTTTTTCCTTTTGGGTCTGGGGTTTCTATATTTTCAGATGTAACGTTTCTCCCAATATCTGGTCTCATGGGGACAAATATGAAAACCAGAATGGACAAGAGCATATGTCCATGGTGGAACGGCCCTTGCCTGTTTGAAGCTCTTGATGCTATTGAAGTTCCAGTGCGTGATCCAAAAGGGCCATTCAGGTAGAGTAGATCTCTTTGTTACTCTGCTGTGAAGGATTTTTTTATCGAGGTCAATATTGTTGATTGTGCGTAACAAATATTGTGGACACCTCCGATTTTTTCCACCTGTACACCTAAATTTCGACACTATGGATATGCACGCATGTGCTGTCTCTTACACTCTGACTACAGTCACTTGTTCTATTGTTGTTGGTAATGATACACAGCTTGTTAACTAGCAGTTCTTTGATAAGAATATGAATGCATTATGTCACACTTATTTCTCTGGGTTGTCTCTTTCGTAAATGATATTAAGAAAAAATAAAATGGATCTGCTCTTTTCCATGTTATTCGGAGGGGCATACTTTTCTGTAAGCACTTATAAATCTGTAAGATTTAATGTTTCACGAACTTTAGCTTTTGTTTACTTTTAAGGTTAGTGCTCAATCAATCTTGGACTACTGCCGACTAATTAAACTACTTTTCTTTCTTTTTTCTTTTTCTTTTTGTTAGAATGCCTATAATTGACAAATTCAAGGACATGGGAACAGTTGTCATGGGTAAAATAGAATCTGGAAGTGTTCGTGAAGGTGATAACTTGATGATAATGCCTAATAAGGTAACTGTTGTAATCCTCATTCATATAATACAGAGGTTTATGGATTCTGTTTGTAGAATAGAACTTATACTTATATCGTGATCATTTGGCTGTTTTTTAGGTTCCCGTGAAAGTCATAGCTATCTTCTGTGATGAAGACAAAGTAAGGCGTGCAGGACCTGGTGAAAACTTGCGAGTCAGGATATCTGGAATTGAGGAAGAGGACATTGTAACGGGTTTTGTTCTTTCTAGTGTTGGTAGGTTCTTATGGGTGGATTTTTTATTTTTATTTTTATTTTTATTTTCATTTAAAAAGAATAAATTAAAAACTGTGCCATGTGTGTTTCTCCTTGCTTTTATGCATCCTTATGTTAATTAGCCTGTGGAGTTTGTTAGCAACAACTTACTGCCAATGAGAAAAGCTTATTGAAACAGAACTTTAATTTCCTTGTTCTTAAGTTTGTGAGGTGAATGCTGCATTTTCAGTTTTACTGAAGGACAGCATGTAAAAGGAAGTGTGGTAGTTAGATTTCCTTCTCTGTGGGAATCAGTATATGGCATGCATAATGTGAGCTTCATGGTAGTTCATCACCTGATTGGATTAGTATGACATGATGTAGTACAGACCATAGCTTGAGTAAGAAATAGCAGTATTTTACTGAAGTTGTGGCATATTGTTGTATGATTTAGTGGCATTTTAAGCGGGGGTGCATCAATTTTGGAACTATAAGGTGCTTTGAAGTTCTTGTATATGATAATCTGGTTTCCTCAGTGCCTTACTGTTATGAAGATTCTATAATTGTTGGTTCATGAATGAAGTTATTTTACTAATATAACTAGTATATTTGAATTTGAATGAACTGTTTCCATGGGTTCTGCATCTCTTTTGACGTTTAATCTTTGTGTGAATTTGAGTATTCAGAAATAATGTTTCTCCAAATAGTGTTTCCTACTGAAGACAGTTCCAATGGAAATTTTATCTTTCTTTTGTGCAGCAAATCCAGTACCAGCTGTTTCCGAGTTTGTTGCACACCTTCACATTCTGGAGCTGCTTGACAATGTATGTTGTTAAATTTGATTTGGTTCTGGTTTGTTTAACCTTTGAAATTGTTTTTGTATTTGTGTTTTAGACAGCTCATATATGATCCGTTCTCATAATGGGTACTCTTAATTAACTATACTATCATGTCAGGCAATTTTCTGTGCGGGCTACAAGGCTGTTCTGCACATCCATGCAGTGGTAGAGGAATGTGAGATTGTTGAACTAATGGCGCAGATAGATCCAAAAACCAAGAAACCTATGAAAAAGAGACCTCTTTTTGTCAAGAATGGTGCTTTGGTTGGCTGCCGGGTTCAGGTCAGCTTGAAAACCTTAAAACCTCGTTTTATGTTCCTTAAAACCTTACAATTTTAATATATGTAATTTCTCTAGCAAATTATGATAAATATACCTTGAACTCTGACGTTGATTTTGCTCGAATTGCGTTTCCCAGGTTAATAATACGATATGCGTCGAGAAGTTCTCTGATTTTGCACAGCTTGGACGATTTACTCTTCGTACAGAAGGTTAGAGTGATATGTACATTATAGTGATGGTCAATAATTTCTGGATTTCTCAGCCTTTTTAATTAAGATCTTCCATGACTTCTCATATTTGACAGGAAGAACTGTTGCGGTTGGAAAAGTAACGGATATCCCAGCTGCACGTGGTGCATAAGCAATTCATCATGAAAGGTGTGCATTACTGACTTGATTTACATGTCAAAATTGAATCAGGACATTATACATGTAAATTGTTGAATTTTTGTTGTCAACTAGTAATTTTCTGCATATTATTCCTTGTGCTCATGAAACACAAGTGAAGAGGTATTGATTGCTGTTTTGTTTAACAGTCAAATTCTGGATAAAATCCTGTCATATATACATTATGTCTTGATTTACATGTCAAAATTGAATCAGTAGACGTTATACATGTAAATTGTTGAATTTTTGTTGTCGACTAGTAATTTTCTTCATATTATGCCTTGTGCTCATGAAACACAAGTGAAGAGGGTATTGATTGCTGTTTTGTTCAACAGTCAAATTCTGGATGAAATCCTGTCATATATACATTATGTCATAATTTCCAGCAAACAAACTATATATGCAGGTGCCTCAAGTAATTTTCGAGTGTTGGACTCAATGGGAACAGATGAATGTCGTTGCTCCTTTTGTACTGTCGCTCGATTCTAGTGGATTCAGGGTTGTGATCGCTACCTGTTTTGAGGGTATTTTTGCCATATTTAGTATCTTGCTCTAAAGCTTTTTCGAGATTTGGTTCAATTCGAGTATAAACTGGGATGTACTGGAGAGGTGGTTAATAATACCCGATAGATGTGCCCAAATTTGTTCATTGTCGTTTCGCGTGGTCGTCTTGAATCTTGATATATATATATATCTGACAGTCTTGAATCTTGATTTATATACTTGACAAACATGTACGAAAAAATCATTAATGTTGTACTTTTCTTCTCTATCAAGTCTGCTAGAATAATTTAAGAATAAGAATATACCGTTTTCAATAAAAAAATAATATTAATCTATTCACATATTCCACATTACAAATTCTCCACTCTTCTGCACTTTCATTAATATTTTCTTTCAGAAGTAATTCCAATAAAATTTTGTGTTTTCTAAAAGAAACATAAGAGACGGTGCAATAATGTTCACGAATTCTTTTTACCCAAACGCTTTTAACCAACGGGATAGAACATCACCACTATACAAGGCGAGGCAACATTATTAGTCGAGCGACGTATATGATTCAATGAAACAACTGGAATGGCTATTGAAATAATCCTACCAATATTAGAGGTCCACAATTGATATGAAAGAGACGTGATGAATACAGAAAAACAATCATCTGAATACGAAAAAACAATCATCACAATTGAAATTCAATGAAGAACACAAGGAAAACATGAACAAATTTTTTTTGGAGTAAACAATCATCTCAATTGAAATTCAATGGAGAACACAAGGAAAACATGAACATTTTTTTTTAGAGCAAAATTGGAAGTGTACAATTACATTTCATAAATTACTAAACAAATAAAGAAAATGCTATGAAGAGTAAAATACTATCCTATCCAAATTACCAATGATAAATAACAAATACAAAATTAATTTGATTTATACATCACAAACCACCTAAAACATATACGTTGTGGGGAGATTTCTTATGATTTTAAAGTTTAGGAGGAATAATGTGAAATCTTAAGTCTAGATATAGGATTTGGAGTGAGATTTTATATATAGTTTTTTCTTTTGAAATCCTAACAAATTTTAAAAAGTAGTACAAATTCTAGTCTCAAATAAATTTAATACCTCATGATTTTGAAACTCTTTAAAATTTCAAATGAATACCTCAAGACTTTAAAAAGTCTAAATTACATACAACATGATTTAAATTTTAAAAAGTCTTTAAAAAATTTAAAACGAAATACAAGTTAGTGCACAAGAACCCTTGTAAACATAGTTCGAAAGCATATCGTGGAAATACGAAATATGGGCCAATATCCTTTAAGCCCAACTAATATGATGGGCCCACAATTCTCAAACTATGTCCTGTATACTTGACTCATCTTATCTCACTCGACCGATATCCCAAAGCCATATCCAGACTCCACAGAGAGGTAACACACTGAAATTCATTCATCCAAAAGCTCGCTCGTCGGCGCAAAAAGCTAAAATGGCAGCTCTAGCGCAGCAAATTGGTGGATTGAGATGCCCACCAATTTCAACTGTTGAAGGGAAGACTTCGGGGAGGCGTTACTGTAATGTGCTGCCTAAAAGGAGAAGTGTAATTTCAGCAGCCGCTGTTGCTATAGCGAATGCGGAGACGAGAGAGAGAATGAAGCTGAAGGAGATGTTCGAGGAGGCGAGTGAGAGGTGCCGTATGATGCCAGTGGAAGATGTGGCCTTCACCATCGAAGATTTTCAAACTGCCGTCGACACGTACGACTTCGAGTCTGAAATTGGCGCTAAGGTGACTTTTTTATTCCTGTAGTTTCTTCAGAATTCAGCTCTGTGATGAGCTAGGATACGCTTGCATTTGCAAGTTCTATTTTTGGTCTGTGGGTGTTGAAAATTGGCCGTGGTATTAGCGGAGTTACCAGGCGTGTTCTGGAGTAAAAGCGTGATTTAACCATTAATGTCTTAATTCTAGCATGACATAGACATTTAAGATTGAGTTATAGAAGTTTGATGGCTGAACTGGAATTGATATATTTTTTTTTTTATTTTGCTGAAAGGGCAGAATCAAGAATATATGTGTTCGTTTTATTATATGCTTCAACATTATGCAATGTAACATTCATGTTTTTGGATCGGAATTTCCTTGTTCATTTTTTTTTTTCCCTATTTCTTTGTTTTGCAAACAAGTCTCATCATCAACGATAATTAACAATGAAAAGGAATGACCTGTGGCACTTTCTACACGATCCTGTTTCATTTCGTTTCCCTTATTAGGTCAAAGGAACAGTTTATAGCACAGATGCAAGTGGAGCATTTGTTGACATAAACTCGAAAGCATCAGCTTACTTACCTTTAATTGAGGCATCCATCCACAACATCAAACATGTGGAAGAGGCTGGCATAGTTCCTGGTTTCTGTGAAGAATTTTCAATTGTTGAGATTGAGGAAGATGATAGCTTGACCTTGAGCCTTAGTTCGATCCAGGATGACCTCGCCTGGGAACGGTGTAGACAACTTCAAGCAGAAGATGCTATTGTCAAGGGTAAGGTATGGGTTTTCCAATATTGAATTTACATTCTTTTCCACTGCGATTTGTTGTTGAGTGCTATTTGCTTCATCATTTGCAACTTTAGTAGTTTGTCTTGTACCGCATTTCCCATAGTGTCTGTATGAAACATGCCTTAACTCAGTTTTTCCTTTAATATTGATAACAGGTAGTTGGCGCTAATAAAGGTGGATTGGTGGCAGTTGTGGAAGGTCTTAGTGGTTTTGTTCCATTTTCACAATTTTCAACAGTAAGTTCTTTCTTCTGAATGATTTTTTGTGCTTAAATGCTGCTTCTGTTTTTTTGTCATGGTTATGAGTTGATGTTTTGTCCATTGCAAATGGAGCTGGAAGAGTCCTTGTTGACAATTCTCCTGGCATAGTGCTAATAATGGACTAGATCAAAATGGCTCAATTAAATTCTAGTGCTTCTTCTATTAGTGAAGTTTCTAGAAAAAAAAAATATATATCAAACGGCGCAATGCACCTTGGGTCGCTACGGAAACAGCCTCCTTGTATAATTACAAGGGTAAGGTCTGCGTACAACTGACCCCCCAGATCCCAACCTGTTGGGAATATACTGGGTATGTTGTTGTTGTTGTTGTTGTTGTGGTTATGAGTTGATGTGTTCGCTAGGTACCAATGTTAAAGATATAAAAATTAAAGGTTTGCTATAGACTATACTTTTTTATACCTTCGCAATCTGGCATGTTTTCCAGTTTTTTCGACGTGGTATCACAATTATTTACAGCTTCTGTTAAATTAGAACACTTTCAAGGTTGCTGGTGAATTTGTATCAGAATTCAAGTGCAGAGGAGCTTTTGGAGAAAGAAATTCCTCTAAAATTTGTAGAGGTTGATGAGGAAGAGTCGAGGCTAGTCCTCAGTAATCGCAAGGCTGTATCTGATAGTCAGGCCCAGCTTGGAATTGGTACTGTTGCGATTGGCACTGTTCAGACCTTGAAACCTTATGGTGCATTTATAGACATTGGTGGGATTAATGGCCTTTTGCATGTGAGCCAGATTAGCCACGACCGTGTTGCGGATATTGCTACAGTGCTTCAGCCTGGTGATACTTTAAAGGTGCATGTCTTGCACTCATAGATATTTAAGAAGATTAACTTAGAAATTTAAGCTATTACACATAAACCCTGCTATATTATAAACACCCATTGAGCTTTTATGTTATTCTAGGATCCACCCCTTTGTATGTACATTAGGCAGAACAGAAACTATGTGAGGAGCATATTTGTTGTAATACCAAAAGAAAACTGTTTTACATTCCGTCATTTTCGTCCTGTTTTCTCAAATAGGCTAGATCTTGAGAACAGTATCTGTAATTGTCTTTTACCTTTTAATTGATTGTCTATGAAGAGAATTTATAGCTCGTGTTATGCCGGGTTGTAGGTTATGGTTCTAAGCCATGACCGTGAGAGAGGCCGAGTAAGCCTGTCAACTAAGAAGTTAGAACCTACTCCTGGTGACATGATTCGCAATCCCAAGCTTGTTTTTGAAAAGGTAAATGCAATCTGAATCTTTTGCTTCACCATTTTCTTGCTTAAGTCGAATGAAACTTGAACAGAAACAGAAAAGAATTTGATTTGGATCATACCTGTCGCCACGTCTCCATTAAACCAATCTTCATTACACTGATTTGATTTTCATCTGTGAATGAAACCATTTCAGGCTGAAGAGATGGCTCAGACTTTCAGGCAAAGAATAGCTCAAGCAGAAGCCATGGCCCGTGCTGATATGCTAAGATTCCAACCTGAGGTAATTAATTCCTTTGCATTGGAATATACTATATTGCTATATGGAAAATTCGCTTTACTCCCTGCCTACCCAAAACACACACACATACACTATTTTTTTTTTTTTTTTTTTTTTTTCCTTTCAAAATGATAAACCAATGAAACTTAAAAGTAGTGATGTGAAGGTCAGTGTATTTCTTATCAAAAAATCCGCAAGTAGATATTGATTTTGGATGTTAATGTCAAAGAAAATCTTTAATTTTGATATTTCTCCCCCTCACCCAAAAAAAATAGAAAAATAAAAATCATGATGATGTTTTCTGTCATTAACTCTTGATCGAAGCCATTTTAACCACACGATGGATTCAGTAAGTTCTTGCCAATAATCTTTTTCCCTCCAAAGCAAGCACAAGAGTTCAATCTCACTCACTCACTCACTAGTCTAAGAAAACTAAAATTTCCCAAACAATAACGAGCAGAAGTGCTTTTGCTTAATCAACTAACTGATGCTCATCTTCTTCTCTTTCATGTGTTCCAGAGTGGTTTGACATTAAGTTCTGAAGGAATCTTAGGGCCATTGACTTCAGACCTGCCGGAAGACGGTTTAGACTTGAGTGATATCCCTCCAGCTGACGATTGAAAACAAGCTGCACATTCTCAAATTTCTCTATCTCAAAATATTGGTTTTACCAACATTTTCATGAATCCCTTACAACTGTGTTGTTTGGTAATGATTGATCTCTGCTTTCAACATTATTCTTCAAAATATTTATATTTATTCCCTCGTGTATTGTATATCAATCAAATATGATGCCTTTTTCAACTTACCGTAAAAAGTAAAATGGAGCTTATTCTAAAAAACTAAAAATACATTTTTTTAGTTAATGTGTATAACCAAACACACTTTTTTCAATATTGTATCAGATCAAAACAANCTATTTGCTTATATATAGAGAGAGAGGTTTATGGTGTATTGATTTTAAATTTTTTTTATCAATATCCTAATATTTATAATTTATTTGATGATGATACTAAATTAATCTGTGTTCAAAACATATTAACTAAATTTTAGGAATTAATATAAAGAATTAGGGGTGTTCAATGTCCTAAATATTGGACACGAATTAGGGGTGCTCAATTTTCTAAATCATATTATTGGACACTACAAATAAGGAATTAGGAAAAGATGTGATTTTGCAAGCAAAAAACTTGTGACAAATAAAATTAAATAATTTATACTACATTGTTAAAAAAAATACTTTATTATTTTATACTACTTTCTTCATTTCCTACTAGTATCTGACTCTGTGCATTTGCACAGATATAAAACACGTTTTTGTTTGTATTACTTTTTCTTAAGTTATTTTTATCATTCAAAATTAATTAAAATTTAAATTTTATTTTAACCATGCAACTTTTACATTAGTAACATGAATAAAATAATTTATATATTTCTGGCATATATTAAGAAAAATAACATAAATAAAAAAAATATTGGTGTTTTTGATTTTTAGAAGAAAAAAATATGTACCAATCATATTTTTTCTTCCAACAATGCAACCAAATATAGCGGTTATAGCTATGAATGTGTCAATCAACTTTAAGTTCCAACATTAGCCGTTACACATTTGAATATTTTGCTACCAAATTTAGAATTAATTTAGTAATTGATCTAAAAAATAAATAATAAAAATATGTATATTAAGGTGTAACGGTTTTAGCAGATTAGTGAGTAATTGATTAAAAAAAAATGTAACTCTTTTTGGAGGGAAATGAAAATAAGTTTTATTAAATGTTATTCAATGCATCAGCTAGTAATTATATATATATATATAGGTTATTTTTTTCTAATTATTTATAGGAGATCTTTCAAAGTTTCATAAAAAATAATTTGATATTTTATAAATAATTTACAAAATTAAAATAAAATAAAATAAATTTGATCATATTTTCAGACTACTAAAGAAAAATAAAATATTTGGTGAGTTATATATTTGGCACGTGCCACATCATATTTACCCTCATTGAGTGGTGACACATTCACGATCATATTATTTTCAAGATAGTCAAATATTGAGTCACAAAATCTATATTTATATTAAGAGTTTTGGGTCACAAAATCTATTCATATTCACAATCATATTATTTCAAGATGACAAATATTTGATCACAATATCTATTCATCTTGCGTGAATTCATGTGTTGAGATGCTCCTAGCACCAAGTGAATTCATTTTTAACATATTAGCAGATGCTCTTAGCACACGTCCTCATACTTTTTATAACTACAGAGGAACATGTAAATACATAAGTTAGCTATTTGTATTACCAAGCCTCATTGAAAAAGTATGATTTGCCTAATGTTCGTTACCTGAGATTAATTACAAATATAAATTATACAACAATGAAAAATGAGGGTTTAATGAACGAGACGCACTTGCAGGACATTTTATGTACAGCTGAACAATATAGTGGCAATTGTATTTAAACATCATATCTCTAACGCTGCTTCCCATCAGCTAACTTTCGACCAATCTCCAAATTTACCTAATGAACTAAAGATTCTCAACGGGACTCCTTTTAATGCAATCAGCACAGGAGCTGATTAGTAATCCAAGACAAAACTTTTAGAAGCCCGTTTGCTTTGGCAGCAGGAGTAATATAACCCTTTCACTAAATAAACGAGTCGTGATGTTGGTCAACACTTGAAGAAATCTTCAGCTAGATCGTCAAAAGATATCAACTTAAGTCGAAACCAGCATCAGAATTTATGGCATACAGTAATTTCTCCTCCATTTGCTGTTTGCTGTATGAACATGACACCAGACCCAGATAATCATGTTAGCAAATGCTAAAATTTAGGGTTAAAGTTAACTCAAGCTCTTCACAATTCAGCTAAACCTCTAGTGCATTATGGTTTTTGTAATTTTGACATAGTTTGTAATGGTAAATGAACTGGAGGTACTGGACACTTCCAAACCAGAGACATAACTAGTACAGATGTTCGCAGCCAGGCATAATTTCGGAAAAAGATTAGTGCAACTTTGCAAAAGCCTAAAACTACAAACCTTCTGTAAGGAGGAAGTTTAAGAAGATTCATGCAAGTGGCAGATGTTGGCAACCGGTCAAGAGCTTCTTCGGATGCATTACCAGCTGTCCTGTTGGATGAAATAGAATAAAAGATAACAGATTAGACTCACAGGCAGTTAAGTATAAGGATTAACACTGGCGATGTAGTGTTACCTCTGTATGCAAAATGTGGGCTCCAAATACTTAAAGCCAAGCAAAGGCCCACGAGAACATCCAGTTGCAAACCTGAGACGGGACAAACAAAATTCAGTGTTTCACTAAATCAGGAATCTGAAATTGCAAATACTATCATGTAAGAACTTATCAATTACAAAATCGTCTGAGACTTTTGAACTATTACGTCGTGGTCCAAATAAGTTCATAGTTAGAAAAAGGATCTTAAGTCCTAAAATTTGAAGTCTCCATAAGCCAGATTCAAACACATAAATTACAAACATGTAATAACCATCAGTTACAGTGGAAAGAACGAACTATAGCAAAGAAGAAAAGGAAGCAACATAAACAAAGTTGTGAAAAGAAAAATATTGCTGCACGTTTATTCTTTAGAAGTGTCAGCTGTTGAATGGTGTATAAGACTATTAGACCATAATAATCATATCTCATAAATTATGACCAAGTTATGTTGCTTCTGCTGCATATAGTGCACATCTTAAGCAAAATTCTTAACAGCAAAAGATGATATGGTCATACTTCAATAATTTCCTCCGATTTTCCAGGCTAAGGTTCTCAATAACTTCCCAGAACATTCCAATCACATAGTGATCCTGCCAAAATAATTTATTGCCAGAGATATTTTAGAAAGATGTGAATCTCATATATATATATATATATATATATATATATATAAGAAATGAATAGGAGGCGAGCCTGCCGAATACTGATATTTCAAGAACATTTACTTTGAGAAAGCAAACTACACAATAACACTACACATCCTACCTTGTGATATCCACCGCCATAATTAGTATGAGCTTTGAGATCACTGACATCAAATCCATCGACAGATCCAGATATTAGAAGCTGGGACAATGAAAACAAAGCTTTTAGGTAAGAGTGGTAACAGTGCACGTCCAAGCCAGTATAAAGGTGGAACCAGTCTTCATGTGTACAAACAGAAATTGGAAGTAAATATATTAAGCATATTAACCATCAATCACTGGAGATGATTCCCGAAATGGAAAAGGACAGTTAAGAGCTGTGCACTTTATTCAAGGATTTCAGTTTCCAGTGTCAGTGATGTTTTTAATAGTTCGTTTCCTTATTTGAGTATTTGTTAATGAAGCAAGACTACATTGCAATCCCTTATCAAGTATGAATACTGAGGTTTGCAAGTGTAAGAAAGAAAAATGTTACCACATATTTGACAAAAGCAAAATTAAATAACCTTACTTACAGAACCCATCATCACTACCAAAGCACTACTATTGTCCAATGGAACACAAGAATACCTGAAGCTCGTTCTCGTTAAACATGTCAATCCACTCTTTATTAATCAGCTGTTGGAACCCTCTCAGAAAATGAGAACTTTGTTTACGAATCTGCATAGAACATTAATGAGTAATTTTACAAGATTTTAAACATCTTATAACTCTACGTATATCAATTCTTTTTTGCATCTCTATAAAGGCAATTCTTTCAGCACCATCGTATTCTTTTGCAAATATTTCTTTCCTCATTAATTGATATTTTATTTTTGATGGAACGGTGATCGTATTTCGCATGTCACAGTAATTTTACAAGATTTTAAACATCGTATAACTCTACGTATATCAATTCTTTTTTGCATCTCTATAAAGGCAATTCTTTCAGCACCATCGTATTCTTTAGCAAATATTTCTTTCCTCATTAATCGATATTTTATTTTTGTTGGAACGGTGATCGTATTTCGCATGTCATCTAATCTTTTTGGTTATTTGGCACGCGGTGTGATAGGAGATTTGAATATTTATAACCAAAACTTCTGACACTGTTTTAGTACCTGAAAATTCAATCGATGGTTAGCTACTAGATGTATAAATGTGATGACATTCTCATTCGTGACTCGGATATTTTTTCCTCCGGGAAGAAGCTCTTCTTCAGTTTGCTCCCCATATTCATTGTTAGCAATTACAAAGTACAGCTCTAACTCAGATATGTTACCCTGATAACGCTGCAAATCATCACAGATAAAGCCATAAAATGAAAACCAAATATCAATTGGACATTTTATTCAACTTACAAGAAAACAAAATACATGGCTAGTTTAATAAAATAAAGTTCTCTTTATCAACCAGGAAGTGTCCGCAAAATCAACTTGTTCCTGATAAGTAAAAATTGATATACACGTACAAGAAAGAAAAGAAAGAGAGAGAGAGAGAGAGAGAGATGGGAACTAAAATATAACAAAATTCACCTTTAAATAGATCAGATGGCGATACAATTCTGGGTCCAGGGAAGGTAAATCATTCAAGTAGTTGTACCTAAGAAGAAAATACAAATTGACCTCAATGAAGCAGATAAGGAACCATCCAAAGTCCAAACTCACTGAAGGCACAATTGCTCAAAAAATTGTCCCCAATGCAATCAATGATTTTAAAGAACTACTTACTTTTGCTTCAATTTGCTTAAGAAGAACGTTGCAAATGGAATATCAACCAAAATCCCTTCATGCATTGCCTACATAAAATATAGCATATGTTAAGCCAATGCTAAAAATATCATGAAGGGCGTAACTATTAAGCACGGAGAGGAATACAAGGGACTTGGCTTTATTTAGTGA